CACCACCACCACCACCATGCCTCCAGGGCCAGCCACAGGGAGAAGCCAGTGGGCGGCCTGTGTGGGCCACCCCACCATCCCGGGTTGGTTCTGAAAAGAAGCCAGTGGGCAGTCTATGTGGCCCACTGGTGCCCTGGGCCAGTCCTAGGGAGAAGCCAGTGGGTGGGCCGTGTGGCAACACTGAGTAAGTCTTCTAGTGTTCTATAATTAGATGTCATCAACTTAACAAAAAATGTGAACTCCTAGAGTAACAGCCTTACCATGAAATCACCGATCACCCCCTCAGGCTCTCCAGTCTATCTTGCCACCCAGACAAGCTGGACTTGGTCACTGAAACCAACACACACAAAATATTCAGATTGCTTCCAGTCCCAGGGCCTAGTCACTCATCCCAGATCAATTGGTACCTTAGCTGTCACCCCAGAGAAACATCTGTCACCAGTTCTGTAATAAACTATAGATTTATTAATTAGGAAAAAGAATTAAGAGTATTTACAGGTTATAGCAAAGAAACCTAGGCATGTAATGAGCATGTAACTTCTGTACATAACTGTGCCCATTGCTTACAACTCTCTTCCTCTTGGCTGTGACCAGAGAGGAGGCATAATGAACTTCAGATCTCACCCTTGGAATTTCCTGGGGGCTTTGCATTTGAATCTCTAGCTCCAGCCCCAGTTGTGGCTTCTGCTCTAATTCAAGTCCTAAATGGAGTATGTTCCAGTTCCAATGAAGATGCAGCCTAAATCTTACTCTAGTCATTGTTATAAGATTTCATCCAAAGATGGTAGAATGTTTCCTCTGATTCAGCGTCAAGCCCAAAGGCCTAGGCAAAACTTCATGCCAACTCATAGCTGAGAGCCTCCTCTTTGGTTGACCTGTAGTTATATCATTTTTGCAGGAACATCAGCCGGCCTGGTCTCAAATCCAGAACTAGATGCTGAGGCTGCAAAGGTGGGAAATCAATTTGAAAATAAGTGTGAAAAGTAAAGTTGTTTTTCTGACTCCATTTGTTTGTTTACAACAACATCATGCTAAAAGCCGTAAGCAAGTGGTTTTGGTGTTGAGAACTGCTGTTTAATTGTAAAAGAATGTCCCCACCAACCACTTCCCCATATAAGGGAAAAAACACCAATTACTGGCAATACATTGGTATGGGGGAGGCTATAATCTCACTCAGTTTATGACATTTTCCTGTTGATAAGCTGGATGCTACAATACAGCCAGAAGCTCCCTACGTGTTGTGATGTACGCTCTGAGCCATGCAAGTACAGCACATTACGACCTACTATGAAATGTTTGGATTGCTGAGAAACAGAAGCATTCAGAGTCTGCCAAGCAGATACTTCCTATTCTCTTGAGCATTCTGGTGGTCTAGATGTGCATGCATCTAATCATAGAAGGCATGTGACTATATTAGTCTTAATGAAGGGATGACGTGTTGCAGCTGGAGTCTTACATTGTAATTTATTTTATGGTCTGGCGTGCCAGATTATTTGCATTTTTTTTTTTGACTGAGGATGAAATTTCTTTCTTACGATCTGTGACCAGTGGTAAGCATCGAAGAAAAGAGTAAATATAAATGAGCCATAAGTTGGCTTATATGGATAATGTGCCATATTAGCCAACTTCAAGCTAGCATGAAATATAGACCAAGGTGGGAGAAGGAGTGTTTTTCCTTTTTTTTCTCTTTTTATTTTTATTTTATTTTTTTTTGTAAGAAAGGCAAAGGTTTGATGCAACAAACTAGGGAAATCACCTCCAGAAATACTGAGGCACAAGTGAAGATTATGTTATCCCCTGGAGTACCGGGAAGGAGAACATTTGAGTGCAAATCCTATCTTTACAATGGGACAATCCAATGCTCCAGATATTTAAACACAAATCCTCATTGTGGGAGACTGACAGCCTGGAATCAGAGCTGGATTTTGCAGATTATAGACGAACTAAATTCATATTCTGATTATTTTTTTCTAATGTGCTGACTCAAGATGACCTAGTTTGAAAGATAGCGGACTATGCTATGATAGGAAATGAGAGTGCTAATAAATGAATACTAGGACACTTTTAGAAAAAACTGATTTATGTCTTTGAGAGCTAGCAATGATGAAGTGTTCTTGTCAAAGGTCAAAGTCCTAAGGTTAAATTCCTATATTGCCAAACAAGTCGTATCAATTATTTTACAATGTAACCATTTTGGTTTTTTTTTTTTTTTTTTTTCTTCACAGCCAAAGGGTAGTTCTCAACAGAAAGTTCTGTTCCTAACTAGTTTATCTTTTTTATTTCTAAATCTGAAATCTTGATTCTTCACAAGTATACTTATGCCAGATGACACATTTGAAGAAAACAGACTCCAGTGGAGCTATTATTGCTATGTACTAGTATACAATCAGAATTGGTCTCAAAATTAATACTTTTGCATTTTCTTTGCCATTATGAAGTTATTGTTCTATGCTGCATAGTGATAGATCAGAATATTTTAGCTCAGAGGCTGTGTCTAGACTGGCCAGTTTTTCCAGAAAATCAGCCACTTTTCCAGAAAAACTTGCTAGCCGTCTACACTGGCCGCTTGAATTTCCACAAAAGCACTGACAATCTCATGTAAGATTGTCAGTGTTTTTGCGGAAATACTATGCTGCTCCCGTTCAGGCAAAAGTCCTTTTGCGCAAAACTTTTGTGCAGAAGGGCCAGTATAGACAGCCCACATTTGTTTTCCGCAAAAAAGCCCTGATCGCGAAAATGGCGATTGGGGCTTTTTTGCGGAAAAGCGCATCTAGATTGGCACGGACGCTTTTCCGCAAAAAGTGCTTTTGCAGAAAAGCGTCCATGCCAATTTAGACGCTCTGTTCTGAAAATGCTTTTAACGGAAAAAGCATTTCCAGAAAATCATGCCAGTCTAGACGTAGCCAGACTGTATCTGAGTTCTGTGTATTTCAGGGTCCAGAGACGGTAGGACTAAGATTTTGGATCAGGCACATAGCTAGAACACATTAGCACTCAAGGACACTAATCAGGTGGAAGGTGGGGATAAATTGTACAACATTTTAGTTATAGTTGGACACACAAAGAGGAGACGTGCTTAGAAATATGGTTATCCTTTCCAATATACACTACGGAGGACTCCCCAGCCAACACCGTTAGCCAAGTTGTTTGACTATTAACCTGATCCTAAGTAAGAAATGGATTATGTAGCATTTTTTATTACATTTTATTTTAAAATTTTCCTCCATAAAAGTTGTTTTGTTTTATTTTTATAACAAGGCAGTAGTAGCGTAGGCCATAAGGAAAGTAGTTTTAGTTTCTAAAATAAATTTGAAGAGTGACATAGTAGTGATGCATTTAATTTCTATAGACATCCTTTAGAAAAATGCTGTGGATACTTTTCAGTCAGTTACATGAAAAGTAAACCATCTCTCCCAGTCATGCAGGTGGGGGATAGTAACATATACTG